GGGTGCCTGGCCAGGCTTGTTACTTGGAAGGTGTGTTTCTTTAGTAGTCCCCAACCCCTGTTCCCACAGCTGGCTGGCCCCATGGTGGTGCTCCAAACAGCAGGCAGCAGCTCCCCAGGTACATGGAGTGAGTCTTCAGAGCCTTTGCTTCCGGGATACAATTTCCTGATTGTCCTGAGGACACTGCAGTCAGGGAGAGGAATATCTCTGAGGTCCAGGGCACCCTGGGAGCTATTTGTGCAGGCCTTTGGTACTCCTAAAATCTCCAGGAAGCCATAATGGGAAAGAGCAGTGGGTTCAAGGAAGAACGGCTATAATAAAATACCAGAGTCTGGCCACTGTGTAAAAAAAAAATGTTAATTTAGGTCTGTTTTTGTGTTTTTTTTTTTTTAACTCTCAAAGTCCAAGATCAGGTGGCCTCCTCTGTTTGCTTTGTAGCATCACCTGATAGCTTCACCACATGGCAGGGAATCAGAAAGGGAGCTGCCTCCTGCACCGGGGTGCATGCTGTGGGGTGCCTCACTGTATGCCAAGCCTCTCCTGTGGCAGCCCACTGGCTCTGGAAGCCCATCATCTGCCCACTTTCAGGGAGGTGCTCTGTGCCATGAGGAACTGACCCCAGTCTCACAAGGCTCTGCACCTCGGAACTGCCATGCTGAGGACCAAGCCTCCATCCCATGAACCTGTGGAGGACATGCTCAACCACCTCAGTGGAGGACACAGACATTCCCAGAGGAAATGAGTGACGAGCCTGAGTTCCTTTCTTGGGATCAGGAATATAGTTGCTCCCCTGGCACCAGATATCCCTGAAGACCTGAACCCTGGTCATACCTGGGGCACTGCAGCAGGAACCCCCTTACTCCCTCAAACATCCTGAGCAAAGCCGCTGCAGGACAGAGCAGCTGCCCTGGGGCCGAGTCAAGAGAGGGTTCAGGCCCATGACCAGCTGTCTGCTTCCCTGACCCCAAATGCAAAGCAGTTGGCCTCCAGCCCTTCTGAAGGATGAGGGTAGGTTCAAACTTGGGATCATCCTTCCACAGCAAGTTCACACTGTCAGGTGTCCCCTGACCAGCACCAC